AGATAGTGTAAAGTTTAAATATCGGTAGTAGTATAATCGTAAACTTATCCGACATCATTTAAAAATACCGCATAATGTTTAAATATAAGATGTGATTAAGACATTTAATAATTGCCAAGCTAAGTATCGTTAGCTTATTACTCAAGCGAGAGCACCAAAGTGGTTGAATGATGGCAAAGTTAAAAGATGGCTTCAATGTTTGAACTCAGGCTAGACCAATGAACATGCATGTTATGGATAGCTTTAGGTTGCTGAGTTAAGTTATTGGACAACAACATTTTTTTTTTTTTACATATCGAAATATAAAAAATTAATATTGTGATGATCAAGGATGGACTTTTATTTTTCATGTATAAAATAAATAAATTAGTACTGTTATGATCATGGATGGATCCTGAAAATTTGAAAATCTAAATATACTTTCGCACCCTGTGGATCAGTCCTTGGTGATGATTACAAAACATAAAAATGATGGTTTTTTCTATTTCAATCAATAAAATTTGGTGGGTTTGGCAACCAACTAAAAACTCTTTCTTTCTTTTTTTCTTCCTTTTTTTTAATGTTATTTTTTTTAATTTGCCTAAAAAATTTTACATTTTTTGTGTATCTAGTGTGGAATGATCTAAAAACATCACCAACCTATTATCACTTTTTTTTTTTTTCATTGTTTTTTATAACTTGTTTGGTCCACGTAGTCAAGTATATTCCAAAACGCAAAGTTTTCGAAAATTTTAGAAAAAAGTTCATAAAATTAAAAGAAACCCCCCCCCCCCCAAAAAAAAATACTTACCCCAATTCCACTAAGTTTTCTTTACAAAAAATTACAATTCGATAGTATTTTCAGAAAATAATAAGAAATTTATATCAAAAAAATAATTTTAATTTTAATATTTACAAAATTTATCACTCTGATCTGATTTTTTTTTTTTTTTCAAAATAGACTCAAACAACAATAAATATTTAAAAGCTTCGACAAGAGAGGGTTCTGTAATGGTGGACGACGATGGTGGCTACTACAGAAAAGAAGGAAACATAATCTCATTAGAAAAGAGATAGCGTAAAGTTTAAATATTGGTAGTAATAGAATAATAAATCCTTCCTACATCGTTCATAATCTAATTAGAAAAGAGATAGTGTAAAGTTTAAATATCGGTAGTAGTATAATCGTAAACTTATCCGACATCATTTAAAAATACCGCATAATGTTTAAACATAAGATGTGATTAAGACATTTAATAATTGCCAAGCTAAGTATCGTTAGCTTATGACTCAAGCGAGGGCACCAAAGTGGTTGAATGATGGCAAAGTTAAAAGATGGCTCAACGTTTGAACTCAGGCTAGACCAATGAACCTATAGGTTATGGATAGCTTTAGGTTGCTGAGTTAAGTTATTGGACAACAACTTTTTTTTTTTTACATATTGAAATATAAAAAATTAATATTGTGATGATCAAGGATGGACTTTTATTTTTCATGTATAAAATAAATAAATTAGTACTGTTATGATCATGGATGGATCCTGAAAATTTGAAAATCTAAATATACTTTCACACCTTGTTGATCAGTCCTTGGTGATGATTACAAAACATAAAAATGATGGTTTTTCTATTTTAATCAATAAAATTTGGTGGGTTTGGCAACCAACTAAAAACTCTTTCTTTTTTTTTTTTTTTTTTTTTTTTGTTGAAACTTTGAAAAGAACAACAATATATATATATATATATATATATATATAAAGCAATCTTAAGGAGATAAAAGAGAGACAAACGGCCAAAGAACCATAAGTTTTCAACCAAACAAAAGATGGGTTTTCTTTCCCTTTATATATTTAGTAAAAGAAGCTTTTACTTGTTTCAATGATGGACGAATTAAAGTCTCTTTTTTTTATTTTTTATTATTAACTTTCTATTTGTAAAGAAACGGTTTATCGCAATTTAAGCCGTCCAAAAAAGCTCAAAGAAAAACCTCGGCCTCCACATAACTTTCCAACCAACCAAACAGGCAAAGAGAAGTATTCATTTAGTAGGGTTATTCAAGTTCCTAAAGAAAGTCAATTTGATGACAACACCAAGTTAATACTAGATTTGATTAATCAAAATGATTAAGAAGACAGATTGAAAAGAAACCCAAAAAAAAGAAAAGTATGGAAAAAAAAAGGTTATAGTGGATTGAAATCAACTAGATGGAATGAAATCAACTTTTGTTGTGTACCTTGTCTTCTTCTTTCTTGTTCCTTTTGGTGTTCTGGTTGTCCTGGAAAATGGAGAGAAAGAGGTTTGGTTTGATTGCAATGGAAGGCGTTCACAATGAAGAGAGAGAGAAACGTGTTATATGTGCGTAAGATCCGAGGTTGAGGGAAAAGACGAATAGACTAATCTTCTGAATTTATTGTATATTTTTTTAAAATTTCATTCTCAAATTATTAATTTATTTTAAATTTAAAGAAATATGTTAATTTAATTTATTGAGTATTCATAATTTTTTTTTGACATATTATGGAGAAAAAAAAAACAGAGTTTCAAACATGTAACAAAATAAATTATGAGTTTTAATTTTTTTTAATTTAAACTTTATACTTTGAATTTAGTTTTAATCTAAATCATTTATCTATTTTTGTTACGTAAAATCGATTGAAAAATAAATATTTTAGTTATTAAACTTATGAAAAAGATTATTTTAAATATTTTATGTATACTTACATTCAATTTAATGGGTGAAATATTTATTTTTCGTCGGTTTTACTTAGTGAAAATAAGTGAGTTGTTTAGATTGAAAATAAATTAAAATATTAAAATTTAAATTGATAGAATTAAAAATTTAAATTTTATATTGTTATGAGACTCAAACTCTAAGGATTTTTTTTTTGTAAGTACCCCTTTCTTATAAATTTTGGTTCTACAAATGAAAATAGTCCCTCCAAATTAGTACAATTCTTTTAAATAGATAAGAGAGTAAGTATAAAAAATATTTCCACCATCAAATAAACCACTAATTAGCTAAAAAGTTAACAAAACCTAACAAAACTAACACAACCACCACTAAAGAGTATCAAACTCTTCTCCATTGACTATCTAAAAAAAAAAAAACTCTTCTTCGTAGAAATTAAACTCCAGATCTCACACTATAAATAGTGTTACACAACCATTAAGTCAAATGTCATAATTAAATTAATACAATTAAAACCCTAACTTTTTTTTATTTTTCTATTTTATTTATTGTTGATTCATAAAAAACCAAAGTTAATTGGTAAAAATATAATTTTACAATTTAGACAATTTCATACTACTAAATATTTATCTTATTACTTAGGCTTCTCTCAATTTCATATTCAAATCTTTCAGCTTGTATAAGTTCCCGTTTCGATAATGGGAACTTTAATTTTATAGGATCTTCCGACTATATTATGGGAAGGACTTTTCTCAAGTTTAAATCTCAACATAAAATAATTTGAGTGGCTTGTGGAGTCTATTACTGGTCTCGTTTTAATAAACCAAATAATTTATTATGTAGGGATCTCTGTATATATCATTCACAAAAAATTAATTTGATATGATAACCACAACATTTCATTTTATCATATTTGCTCCAAAAAAAATAAAAATAGAAATTGTCAGGGGTAATATTTCTTCAACTTGTCCATGTTGATCGGTTGTGAAAACTCCAGGCCATCTAGATCCATCAGAACCACAGCTCCACCTGACCAGATAGCTTTGATGATGTAGGGACCAGTCCAATTGGGTTTGAACTTGCCCCTTGGGTCGTGGATGGGAGCTCGGTTGTCCTTGAGCACCAAATCTCCTTCCTTTAGATTCCTGGACTTAACTTTCTTGTTGAAAGCCCAGGCAATTCTGCGCTGATAGCCTTGAACATGGTACAGTGCTTTCAGTCTTTTCTCATCAAAAAGCATGAATTCCTCAAATCAGCTCTGCTGCCAATCTGTTTCAGCTATTTGACACTCAGCCAATACTCGTAATGACGGAACCTCAATCTCGATAGGTAGAACGGCCTCCATCCCATAAACCAATGAATACGGAGTCGCTCCGGTAGAAGTTCTGATTGAAGTCCTGTAGCCCCACAGAGCAAATGGCAGCTTATCTGGCCAATCCCGGTAGGTTTCCACCATCTTCTGCAGTATGTGTTTGATATTCTTGTTGGCGGCCTCGACCGCTCCGTTGGTTTGCGGCCGGTATGTGGATGACTTATGGAAAGCCACGTTGTATTTCTCCAACAAGTCAATCACCTCCTTCTTAAAGTGGGAACCATTGTCTGAAATGACCTCGTTTGGGACCCCATAACGACAAATGATGTTGTTTCTGATAAATTTTGCAACGTGTGACGCCTTCAACACCGCATACGATTGGGCCTCGACCCACTTCATGAAATAATCTATCGCAACCAGGATGAACTCATGCCCATTCGACCCATTTGGAGTGATAACCTTGATCACATCGATTCCCCAAACTGAAAATGGCCATGGCAAAGTCATATTGTACAGCTTCGACGGCGGGATGTTCATGCGGTTTGCATGAATCTGACACTTGTGGCATCGCCGAACAAAACTAATACAATCCTCCTCCATGGTGGACCAGTAATAACCCTGTCTGAGGATCTTCCGTGCTAGCATTACTCCGTTCGTATGCGCACCGCATTCTCCTCCATGGATGGCCTCCATCAGGCGCTTCGATTCCTCGGTTTCAACACACAGCTTATGCATTCCCAGATGACCTCTCTTGTACAGTTTACCCCCACAGATGATGAACTGAACGGCCATTCTTCTGATTGCCCTTTTATCCTTGGCATTTACCCCTGGCGGATATGCTTCCTTCTCCAAGAAATTCCAAATTTCGTAATACCAAGGGTTTTCGTCCTGAACCTCATCTATAGCAGCGATCGACTCGTAGGCAGGTGCAAATTTCTGGTCAATGACGACTGGACGCATCCGGATTCCAAACGGGATGTCTATCATGGAAGATAGAGTTGTTAAAGAATCTGCGAACCTGTTGTTCTCTCTTGGAAGATCAGCAAAGTTTAGCTTTTCAAACCGAGGGATTAACAAGTCCAAGGTCTGGTGGTACATCATCATCTTTTCTTCTTTGACTTTCCAGTCTCCTTTTGCTTGAGACACAACAAGATTTGAATCCTCGATGACGTCCAACCGTCTTGCCCCTAATTCCAGGGCCGCTTCTAGACCGGCAATGCATGCCTCATATTCTGCTTCGTTGTTCGAGACTTTGAACTGGAGTTTGAAGGCTAGAGGGATACGGGAATTGTCGGGTGCTATCAGCAACACTCCTATCCCATACCCGTACTGATTTGACGCTCCGTCAAAGTACATCGTCCAATACTCGTCGTCGATGTGCAAAATGGCGTCATCTGGGAATAAGTACTCGACTGCTTCACCCCCTTCGACTGGATGATCTGCTAAGAACTCTGCTACTGCTCTTCCCTTGACTGACTTGCGTGTCACATATTTCAGATCGAATTCGGAGAGCAACAGCAGCCAACGAGCTAGCCTACCCGTAAGTGCCGGTTTCTTGAAAAGATATTTGATGGGATCCAGTTGCGAAACCAACATTACGGAGTGAGCTAACAAGTAGTGCCGCAGCTTCCTGGTAGCCCATACCAAAGCTAAGCAAGCCTTCTCCAGCGGAGTGTAGCGGGTCTCGTAATCCAACATTTTCTTGCTCAAATAGTAGATGGCCCTCTCCACCTTATTCTCTGATTCTTGCGCGAGCATGCAGCCCATTGTAGTCTCAGTCACTGAAAGATACAATATCAACGGTTTCCCCGGCTCTGGTGGCGACAACATGGGCGGGTTCTGTAAATATTTCTTGATCTGTTCAAAAGTAGCTTGGCATTGGCCGTCCCATTGGAATTTCTTGCCTTTCTTCAGGAGACCAAAAAGTGGTTCACAAGTCAAGGTTAATTTTGAGATAAATCGTCTTATGAGTTGCACTTTACCCAGAAAGCCTCGCACTTCCTTTTCAGTCCTTGGTGGTGGCATTTCTAAGATGGCCTTGATTTTGAAGGGTCGACCTCGATGCCCCTTTGTGTAATTAGAAATCCCAGCATTTTTCCCGCCGTAACACCGAACGTACACTTTTGAGGATTTAGCCGCAACTGGAATTCTCTGATCCTTTGAAAGAACTTTTGCAAGGCGGTGTAGTGGCTTTCTCTTTCTTCGGACTTGACAATCATGTCATCCACGTACACCTCAACCTCTTTGTGGATCATGTCGTGCAATATTGTGGTCGCGGCTCGTTGATAAGTAGCTCCGACATTCTTCAACCCAAACAGCATTACTCTGTAGCAGTATGTTCTCCACGGGGTGGTGAATGCAGTCTTTTCTCTGCCTTCCAGTGCCATTACTATCTGATTGTACCCTGAGAAGCCATCCATGAATGAGAGCAAAGCATGCCCTGCCGTGAAGTCCACCAACTCATCAATACGCGGCAAGGGGAAGTCGTCCTTCGGACTAGCTCTGTTCAAATCCCTGAAATCTACGCATACCCGGATCCTGCCATCCTTCTTCGGCACTGGAACGATGTTGGCCAACCAAGTCGGGTATTCGGATACCAGCAGGAAGCCTGCATCGATTTGCTTGGTGACCTCTTCTTTGATCTTGAGAGCCCAGTCCGGGCGGATTCTTCTGAGTTTCTGCTTAACAGGTCGAGCTTCGGGGCCAAGGGGGATCCGATGCTGTACAATCTCAGGATCGATCCCAGGCATGGGGGTCAAGGGGGATCCGGTGCTGTACAATCTCAGGATCGATCCCAGGCATGTCTTCGTAGGACCACGCGAAAACATTTTTGAAATCTTTTAGTAAAACGACTAAGCGCTCGCGTTCCTCCGAAGACAACGTGGACCCGATCTGGACCAGCCGCGGGTCCTCCTCAGTACCAATATTCACGGTAATGATTTCATCCGTTAAGGGTTTGACAAATCTCTCCTGCTCCTGCTCAATTAAACGTTGCAAAACCGGAGGAATTTCGTCCTCGTCGTTTTCATCAAAATTTTGAAAGTCTGAGTTTATGTAATAAATTAAGGGCACAAAAAAGTACTCAAAAACCACAGTTACTTGATTTTCATTAAGAACATCCAAATCATCCGAGTTCTCGGTTACAACAGACTCAAATGAGAAAGAAAAAGACGACCTGGACATAACTGTGGTATCCGGGTTATCATCCCCAGGATTACCAGACTCAGACTCAGTCGAGCTGGAACCTGATTCCGACTCACAAGATTCGGTGGAATCAGATTCGGTGGAATCAGATTCCGGCTCACTACCTGACCCGGTGCTGCTGGACAAAAATCCCTCCTCGTACTGCCAAGTGAGAGAGGGTGCGATAGATGCAT